ATCAACGCGTACCCGAATATGACGTAGGCAAGGACATGCGCAAGCTGAACGAGTTTTAGACAATTGATGAGCATACCCTTGTATTTTTATCATGGTATATACTGTGGATGGGCCTCGCACCATCGGTCGGGGGCGTCGGGGCCATTCTTTTGCAAAGATCTCATCTGAGTTGACCATAACTATCAAAATTCAAAATTGATTCCGTGGGTTCCATTTATGCTGTTTATGATCTGTGTAGAGGGTTAACTTGTGCGATTTAACGTCTTCTCGAGGAAAATTTTACTCGAGATTAACATTTGCACCGCGATAATTTTGAAGTAATATATCGAAACCAAAATGAGTACTTGTCAAATAATATCATGTAGAAATAATTATCGAACAAAAGAATCCAAAATTATACATTTTCATCGCTTTCCAAGAAGAAATGCGTTAATATTACAATGGGAGAAAGCTTGTGGGAGAAAACATATCAATATTAAAAATGGTATATATGAAATTAATACATCTTTATTTATGTATATCATCACAGGCTACATTCAGCAGAAAAGGCAACTTTGCAATTATCGTATTCTTTAATATGATTCGTCTTGCTCTGAAGTTCCTGACTGGATTTAAAAGTATAAACCAGTCATATTCAAGACTTTTACAACAGCTGCAAAGCTGTTTTTCTGCCGAATGCAGCCATGGATTCATACAGTAAAATAACACATTCTATACATGTAGGACGCGTCTGTTCCATCCATTTTGATTCAGCAGCATACAAAGTGTATGATTTACACAATCAACCAAAAAAAAGAAGATTAAAATCTGATGCAGTACCTACGCTGTATTTAGGATCATCAAATGGCGAAGGTATGCAAGTATAAGCTTCTTTGGTAATTAAGATAGTGTATTATATTATTATATTTTTTATTAGCTACTCTAGGTGCGTTCGGAGAGACTCAGCTGGCATTACACTATAGGTGCGTTTGGAGAGACGCTATTTGTGGCATTCTATCCTTGTTTTACGTCTAATTAACAATGAAGATAGAATAACAGAAATAGCGCTAATAGTGTCTCCCTGAACGTACCATATATGCGGATAAATTTTATTCTCGCTATTAGCGCTATTGTGTCATTCTATCCTTGTTTTATGTCTAATAAACAATGAAGATAGAATAACAGAAATAGCTCTAATAGTGTCTCCCTGAACGTACCACATGTTGCATATATTATACAATATATTTATAATTTATTCATTATCTTGATGAATCCACAATAGTACCAGATACTGCAATGAATACAACACTGAATAAAGAGGAGTTGGAAGTGATGAATACAACACTGTTTGATGAGCAGATGGACGTGATGAATACAACACTGTTTGATGAGCAGATGGACGTGATGAATACAACACTGTTTGATGAGCAGATGGACGTGAATACAACACTGTTTGATGAGCAGATGAAAGCTTCGACTTCAAGACACTTATTAAATTTGAGTAAGCAAATTATGGCACGTCGTAATCATACTAACTTCCATAAAAGTAGTTATGTTCAGCAGAGAAAATTGATCAGTGTGTGAGTGCTCAATGATTCTTTAATATGATTGGTTTTTGCCTTTATTTCTTTGTTGGCTCTTTTTTAAGAGTGATATTCATAATTCGTTCTTATTTTAAGACTATTTTAAATAATATCTTAGGACTTCTTTTATCAACTCTGATTAACACTAATTGATGTTTAACTCAATCGTCACGATTGCTAGTGTGAGAACTGAATAGTTTGTCTTGGAAGAGGAAAAAAAAGAAGACGTTCGGATAGAATAAACTGTTGTGACATTTCTGCGAGTTGATCATCAATTAATTTAACGAGAAGTTGGTAAAAGAGGCCCTAATACTACTGCAGCTCTCTGATTGGCTTATAACATCTTAAGACTGTACTTAAGATAGTTTTAAATATCAGAATCGGCTATGAATACTAGCATAAAGGTGTAGGAGCCCATTATAACGAAGACAATGCACTTTTCACTGAAACCGTTATACACTAGCATAGTATAAGTAAGAACAGTAGGTTCACTCAGTCAAAACTGATATTAAAGCCTATTGCACACAGAATATGTTAACGCGTTACGCGCGGCAAAAAACGATATGATACCTAATTATAATCTGATCTGGAAAAGTCTAATTGATCTTTAAGGATGAACAGTCAAACTTTGATTATTCGTCTTTGTCTTACTCGTGTAATAGCATGGAAGAGAATCACAAAATTATAGATTTTATCTTATGAGGTTTGGTACATATAGATTTTCGGCACTGACAGTGAATATCAGAATGCAGGCCAAGTGAGCCTGGTAGGATCTGGTATAAGTGAAGAACGATGATATTACTAATCATTTTTATTGTACTGAGGATAAAAATATTATGTCCTGATAAGCATACATGTTCTAAATAGAGACATAAAACATCTTAAAAATATCTTACAAGCTTTTTACAATAAGCTATTATCTAAATTTAGTCTTAAGTCATAAGAAATTGATCAATAACCCGTACACACTGCAATAGTAATCATAAGACAAACCGTAAGTTAGCCAGTTAGAGCTGAAAGTTTTTGAAAATTTTTTATTATGACGCACTTATTGGAGTGAGTACAAACTATAGTAGTATAATGAAACATGTTGGAGCACACGACGCGAACAAATCTTATGAGTTGTTCTATTTGTTCATAACACTCAAACGCTCATGAGCATCATTTTATCCGTATTATTTATCAAATGTTAACGATAAAATGTACGCAAGCAAGTTACGAACTCATGCATCTAATTGTCACCACATTACATTATCCTGTTAAAAAAAAACTGATAGAAAACGATAATAAACAATCTGTCAAAAATCTTATCGTTTCGTATTATAATCCAGTATTTAACTTTTTATATTCTGAAAGAAATGTTATCGTTTCCTATCATTTTCTGCTGAACGAGGATTCAATCCTTGGAATTCGGTAGAAATTTTGTAATAACTTATTATTTTTTGACATTTAGAATGATCGTGAATTATTGTTATGGAATATTTTGTGAAAACTTTATCGTAATCAATTCAGCTAAAGAAATGTGGAAGTTTGTTATATATCGTACAAGTTTAAAAAATCTATAATTCATCATGAAAATCCATAATCATGCATCGACGGTAGATGATTCAAAATATCTTATCGTAAAATTATAACAAAATTTTCGTAATCATTAATAAAGTCGCAACCATGAAAGTAAATGCTTTCCATTATATTATTATGGTTGAAAATTTATTGTTATTTATCATACATGAAAAAAAAAACGATAAAGAATTAATTGTAGAGTTCTATATAATCTTCTTTTATTCATTTACGATTCGTAACTACGATTAAAAACGATTAACCATTTGTTATAGTCTTTGATCGATATTTTAACAGGGTAGAATAGTTAAGCAAATACGTCTCTACATGTTAATAGTGTTATTAGAGATTACGTTAATTTTATTCGTCATATCCAACTTTTTATAACTTTACGCTATTAATTCGTAGACACACCAGAATCTTCTATGTCTGGAGAATTACCGGAAAACTTCCTGGACAAATCCAACAATCCGCCGGTGGAAATTAGCAAAAAAGGATTCGTCGAATTTAGATTACAGAACAATATTTTAAAGAAGCAGCATGTTAACGACAACAACAGAAAGGAGTACGAAATCAGAAAAAGTGAGATGGAAAGGAAACGACAAAACGAAGAAGAGAAAGACAAAACTAGCGAGCACCTTTTTTATGAAGAGGATCAGGATGCAGATAGCGAGAGTGAACAAAAAATGAATACTAAAGACAGGTTCAAACTTGAGTCGGGAAAGAAAATTTATGAATGCAATCAGTGCGGTCGTATATTTTTCCTGCAGCAAATGCTAGTGTTGCACATTCAGCACTTCCATCTCAATCGCCGATACGAGTACGATAACAACTGCAAGAAACGCTTTTCCAGCAAATCGAATTTGCTGAAGCATAAAACCATACATTTAGACAAGATGCTATTCTCGTGCTCAGTGTGCCAGATTAAGTTCAGACTGTTGGAGCAGCTGCAATGTCATAAGAAAATCCACATGAACGAGATGCATTATGCCTGTCAGCATTGCAGTCGCAGATTTGTCACTGTTGAAGAATGCAAGAAGCACGAAGATTCAGAGCATAAGAAAGTGAAGCCGTTCCAATGCAACATCTGTGGTAATTGCTTTGTAGCCAAACAAGGCTTGCAACGGCACATAGCACAGAAACATGAAGAACTGTTCACGTGCAACTACTGTACAGAGGCCTTCCACACAAAGACATTGCTAAACCAGCATTTGTTTGACACTCACATTGATGATCGATTCCATACGTGTAAAATTTGCCTGAAGACGTTCCTCCGATTGCATCATTTGACCGAACATATAAAAGTTAATCATAGTGGATTGAAGAAGATTGAGAACTACAGTGATGCGCAATCTGAGAGCCAACAATTAACTGTCTGCAGCCCTCCCCCAACTCATAGCCCAAAATACAAAATTATATTTTCTATTTCATATAGAATACCAACATAATAGTATAAGAAAGTTTTTTTTAAAAAAATTTTCTAATGTGAATATTCATTTTCAAAAGTGATTTTTTTAGGAATTAAATTTATAAAAATAGTTACGGAGCTAAGGTTTTATTTATAAATTTTTTGTATATTCATATTTTTGAAGTAACACCTTAAATTTTCGCCTTAAAGCTTTTTATTGTAAATTGTACAAGATATAGATAGTCGCACAGTATGTCGTAAAAAAATCACAATTTGTCAGGATTTCAAGAAATTGTATTGTAAAATCGTGTGTGCGCGTACATGCGTGCACTTTATATTTTATAAATAAATGATGTTAAAAATGTTTGATTTTTGGGCTTCCTATGGAACCTTAGTTAATCACAAAAAGATGTTTGGGACTAATATAAAATAATAAAAATAGTTTCGTATTTTAGAAATGCGGAGAAAGTAGATTCTTCCTATGTATCTCCTCTTTTGTAAGTTGAATTTTGGTATATTAATGTTAGAACTTATTATGAATTGAATATATTGCGAAGTTACTTTGCCAATTACGGGCCTCTTGATTTGGGATCCGAGATGGTCTCTGTCACAATCTCTGCATTAGCCCGGATCTTCATACGGGCAACAGCGCTTTGACACCGAGAGCTAATTGGTGAAAAGCCAATTGTCAGCGCTTTGACACCGAACGCTAATTGGTGAAAAACGGGTGATGAGGGTAAATTTTACCCCCACAACCGGCGTATTCGATTTACTGACTCGACCCGACTCCAAATCAACAGTCTATTCTTTTTAACTGCATTTCTTGTACAATTTAGCAATTTATCTCTTCTTTTGCAGCTAAACAGAACAGACCATTGACTCGGAGTCGGGTCGAATCAATAAATCAAATAAGCTATTAGTTTGCAATGGTCGCGTCCATGATGTAAAGGCCCGTCTACAATACACGGAATAAGAAGTAAGAGTAAGAAATTGACCAATCACAGTCGATTATTCTTCTCACATTCGACTGTGATTGGTCAATTTCTTACTCTTACTTCTTACTCCGTGTATTGTAGACGGGCCTTAAGAATAAAAGGTGTTTCATTGCGCATGTAGGCGGAGCCGAAAATAGAGCAGCCAGTCAAAAT